AATAACATCAACTGTGGGTCCTGATGACAATTTTAATTGTATTTTAATCATTTTATATTTTATTTTAATTGAATTTTAATTGTTGTAAGCTGCCCAGAGACCTTTGGGTAGAGTGGGCGGCATATAAGTTAAATAATTAAATAAATAAATAAAATAAATTGCAACTGGAGTAGGGACACTGAATCAATGTAACCTACAGAGGAGCTGACTCATCAAATCCCCACTGTTTCAATGGACTTGCCGTAGTTGCGGCTTTCTACACTAAGCAACAAAGTTTTGGCTGATGTATTTCTTTTGTCCAGAGAGGGCAAAAGGAATCAATGCAGTTAATATTATTTTTAACAGCAGGTATAAAACCAAGCTTTCTTGCACCTACTTTTCCACAATCAACTAATTGCAATTAACACAACATACCGCCTACGAACTGGACACATGTTTTGCAGGCTTTTTTCCAATGGGCGCTCTTCAAGAGTCCAGCATTCAATCAGTTCCTGAGGTACTCGCCAGTAACTGACACCTTATAATATTCAAGGTATACAGGTGTTAAATTGGGTAACTTTTAAAATCAAAACTCAGATGTTTAACTGCTCTGTCAGAAATCACCCATTTTTCAAGTAGTCAACGATCCTGCTTTGGTGGTCTCGTCATTACGATGCCACTTGCAGAATTCGTTCAAGACATGCCTGTGTCGTGAAGCATCAGCTATTCCTCTGTACAGTGGTGCCTTGACTTACAACCATCTTGTCTTGCAACCAATTCGAGTTACAAACAGATACGGTCGCAACATTTTGTTTTGACTTGCAACCGGCGCTTTGAGATACAACTGGAAAAAAAGGCCTCTTTCCCCCACTGTTCCCTCCCTCTTTTCCTACCCATTTTTTTTAACCTTAAAGCTCATCTTAGGTTTATCTCCCCCTATTAGATGGAAACAGCTTTTGCATTAGTAGTCCTTGCTGGAATGGGTTTTTTGTTTGTTTTAGACTCGAAACTCTCCCCCCCCCCATTGTCTTCTCTCTCTCTATCCTCTCTCTTTTTGTGCTTAAAAGCACAAACCTTTCTCTGAGGGGTCTGTGTACCCCAGTGATGACCTCCTTCCTTTCCACTTTTCCCCATTGTTCCCTCCCTCCTTTCCTGCCCTTGTTTTAACCTTTAAAAAAGACTGGAATGGATTAATCGCGTTTCAATGTATTCCTGTGAGAAATGGTGCTTTGAGAGTTACAACCAACTTGACTTACAACCACCATCTCGGAATGAATTAAGTTTGCAACTCCAGGTACCACTGTATTTCACAACTGCCTTCTGCATTTTTAATCAGATCAAAATGGTGGAGAATTTGGATATGACATCAAGTACCATTACTGTCCAGGAAACCTGAATTTATTTTAATTACATGTCAGATATGAGTCCAGACACATATACGTATGTCCTGTTCCCGATCTGACCAAAATCAATGACCAGTGCATAAAATCTTGGCAGACTGTGTGAACTTTTGGCTTTAAAACCTCTAGCTACATAGCGGAAAAAGTTCAGGGACCTACAGAACAGAATTAGCTCCAAATCCCCCCCAAAGTAAATGATATTTTTATTGATTCTCTCATCAGTTAGCACTTAACTAATGTCCAAATAATTCTAAATAATTCAGAGACACCGGCTAAATAATAAATAAATAAGTAAACAAACAAACAAACAAACAAACAAACAAAAAGTTCCATTTACTCATAGTGCCAACAAACAAACAAACAAACAAATAAAAAGTTCCATTTACTCATAGTACTGTATAGGTCAAATACAGCATAAAGTGGAAAAATAATGACTCGTTACATGACCAGAGCTTAACTGACTAACGAGATTCATAACTGCCTTACTATGCGGTTGACTGACTACAGACTAAAAAAGAGTGGGAAAAGAATTCTTTGAAGAGAGACCTTGCTCTCTTCAAAATCTAAAGGCAGAGAGGGAACAACTGGTTGCTGCTAGATAGATGGACAGTCATCCCAGCCAAAATCTCTTCAAGGCAACATACAAAGGTGCTAAATTCCAAACAGAAAGTGCTAAATAGATAATCTTTGTATGGACTCCTCTAAGAACTCTATTTAACCCAGAATACATATTTTTCAATAGGCTAATACTCCCATAACCATTATTCTGACAAGCTGGCAATCTCCCCACCAGACACAGATTGTTTCATGATTCCCTTTCCTTATGTTGTTGAAGAATGAGTGAAAACATATCCTGGCTACTAGCAGACAACAAATTAAAATAGTTTTTATTCTTCACAAAAAAACATAGTCTAAAGAAAAACTATATACCTCTTCCTTCCCAAGCCTCAAATGCATCCATCATCTTTTTCAACTCAGTCACTGAATAATAGCTCCAAATGTATTGGACATTACTTCCAAATTCCCTAGAGAAAAGTTGGAGTAAAAGACAAGTCAATGCTAGTTTACGGGGTTTTTAAAAATCCACTTAAGAGCCTAAAAATATTTCCTTCTAAAATATAGAAACCACACCTTTCCAACTTTACAATATATTCAAAATGTTGTGGTGAACATATATTGCAAGACTGTAACGGCGTTCACCACATGCTACATCTTCAAATGCTAAGACTGTGTGCCCAACTGCTTCCCACTAGAGTGGCTTTACGAAAAAAAGACAAAAGTTTGATTTGTCTTTTATACATCGTTCTGCCAAATAAATATAAGAACATTAAAATTATTATCAATGGCTCCCCTACACTTCAATAACTTCACCTTTACAAATCAAAAAATGGAGGTCCTTTGGGTGGGTGTCCCAGACATCAGTGGTCTGGGAAATTCCCTCTCCTTTGGGGGTGTGTGTGACTCAATGTGAGGTTCACAATTTGGATGTACATCTGGACCCAGCTCTCACCAAGGAGACCCAGGTGTCATCCATGGTCTGTTCCGCACATTTCCCCCTTCGGCGGACTGCCCAGCTGCGTCCCTATCTTGATGTGGGGGTGCTCACTATATTGGTCCATGCACTCGTAGTCTCAAGATTAGACTACTGTAATGCACTCTACGTGGAGCTGCCTTTGAGATTGATGCGGAAACTTCAGATGGTACAGAATGCGGCGGCCAGACTTCTTACAAGGGTGAAAAGGTACCAACGTATTTCCCCCATAGTGGCCGCCTTGCATTGGCTGCCCAACCGTTTCTGCATTGATTTCAAAGTTCTTATGATTACATATAAAGCCCTGAACGGTTTAGGACCTCGATATCTGGCAGAGCGCCTTCTCCCACCCAGTTCTGCCAGAGTCACTCATTCCAGCCAGGCCGGGTGGCTGAGGGGCCTAATGCCAAGGGAGGTCCCAGAGGAAAGAACGAGGAACAGGGCCTTCTCGGCAGTGGCCCCTCGCTTTTGGAACAACCCGCCAGTGGAGATCCGCCTGGGTGACTCTCTTGGTGTTTTCAGAAATAAATTTAAAACTTGGCTATTTGGGCTCTCCTTCCTGCCGTATCTTAATTTCTTATACTTTTGCCACCTCGGATCTATATGTTTTCTGGTTCCATTGTTTTTAAATTTGTAAATCGCTCAGAGTAGACCTTTGGTCTAGATGGGTGGGATAGAAATTCAATAAATAAATAAATAAAGCTGCATTTACAGTAGATTACTGCCACTGATGCCCAAGGAAGAACATCCATCCAAGTTGAAAAATGTACAGTTTTCTCTCTACTTTTATTTTCTTGACAAGGTTAAAACAATATTTTCATCTATCCATCTCTAACATTTATTTCATAAATATTCAAATAAGATATTGGGCATTTTAAAATATGCCTTCAAACGAATTACAGCAGGACCTCCATATCCGCTGGGGATTGGTTCCAAGCCTTGCATGGAAGCTGAAAGTCAAAGATAATAATGAATACTATACAGTGGTGCCTCGACTTACAAATGTCTTGACTTGCGACCAATTTGAGTTGCGACCAGCTCCAGCCACAACATTTTGCTCTGACTTATGACTGGAGCTTTGAGATGCGACCAGAAAAAAAGGCAGGGGAAAAAGGAGGGGAATTTAAACTACTAACCATTGGTTGGTGAAGAGGCTGCTTCTCTGTAGCTCTTTTGCCCCAACGGTTAGTGTGTGTGTGTTCAGAGGAGGATTTGGGCTGCTTGGTACTGCTTTCTGCTTTTTAAAATGCCTGTTCTGAGTGAGTACAGGGTTTTGCAGCGTGGGTTTGGGCTGGGTTATGTTTCTGTGCTGTTTCTTGCAGTGTTTGTTTGTTTTTCGGCCAGAATGGATTGTGTTTACAATGAGTCTTGCAGTGGGTTTTTTTCTGTATTTTTTAAAAAAATATTGTATTTGTTCTACTTTTCTATCTATTGCAACCAAAGTGATTTATTACAATATGTTCCATTCATTTCATCATGTCTTATACTCCAACATAATACAGTGGTGCCCCGCATAGCAACGATAATCCATTCCGGATAAATCGTCGCTATCCGGAAACATTGCTATAAGGAAGTAAAAACCCCATAGGAACGCATTAAACTCCGTTTAATGCGTTCCTATGGGGGATAAACTCACCGCTAAGCAGGAATCCTCCATAGGGCCACCATTTTCGCCGCCTTGGTAACCGAGGAATCTGCACGAAAACGCTGCGGTCGTCCATTTTCTTGACGCAGCGGCCATTTTGGAACCGCCGATCAGCTGTTTATAAAACATCACAATGCGAAGATCGGTAAGCGAAACGTTTACTGATCATCGCAATGCGATGTTTACCCTATTTAAACATCGCAATGCGATCACTTTTTGCGATCGCAAAATCCGCATCGCTATGCAGATTCGTCGTTAAACGGGGCGCTCGTTATGCGAGGCACCACTGTATTAATCTAATCTATTCTACTTAAATCGGTGTAGATTTCATCCAGGTATAAAGAGGCTCCCATTTATTATACAGTGGTGCCACGCATAGCGACGTTAATCTGTTCCAGGATTAACGTTGCTATCCGGAAACATCGCTGAACGGGAAAAAAAAACCCATAGGAACGCATTAAACCCAGTTTAATTCGTTCTTATTGGGCAAAAACTCACCGTTCAGTGAAGATCCTCCATAGGGCTGCCATTTTCGCCACCTTGGTAAGCGAGGTGTGAAACGGGCGGTCATTTTGGAACCGCCGATCAGCTGGGCGGTGGGCGCTCGGGAAGGAGTGCGGGGACATCCACCATGGAAGCTTTAAGTGATGCTAAGAATCAAGGGCACTCCATATGAAAAGCAAGAGCTGATTAAGCAACAAGCCAACAACATTAGCATATTCATGTTCAATATGATATTTCTTTTAGAGAATCAAAAAAATAGAGACAGTAGCATATTCAGCTTTAAACTGGGAAGTGAGCCAAAGGCACATGGGCTTTACAGTGAGGTGCTATATATGTTTTTAACTCATTGCAGACACTGCCAGAACAGAGTAATCTGGAGGTTCTGGAAGTAACACAGTCTCTGTCAGGCTCCACAGTCATCATCCATCACTGACCCTTTCTTGGGCTCAACCACCTCAGGAAAAAACAAGAGTAGTTGGTGGAGTGCTATAGAAGGGGGCCTAGACCAGGTACCATCACAACAGCTATTACACCCCACCTCAAGTTGACTAGAGATATTATTGACACTTCAGTTGGCCTCTTTCCTGCTTTAATTGCAACATACTCTGTACCTCTTTGATCCGTTTGACTAGTGCATTCTGGTCAAAGGCAACAGCTTCTGAACACTGGTGAAGATGTTCTTGGTACCGGAGGCAAAGCTGCAGAACTTGTTGAGAGTCTAGCTTCTCCAGTTTAATGTTGGTGGGGGATGTCTGTCCACTGAGAAGACCTAGGAAAAAACAATAATGCAGCAAAATTACTGCAAAGATTGCTCACCATAGTAACAAAAGGATGAGAGTTCATTCATTCATTAATTTTGTATCCTGCTCCCATTAGTGTCGTAGCACTACTCTAGGAGGGTTATAATCTCATAAAACAGAAACCACAAATGAAAATAGAAATATTAAAACTCATAACAAAAACCCTTTAAAAAGAGATGGCACCAACTAATCTAAGAGCAAATGAAGGAAAAGAGTGGAGGGATGAGGAGGAGGGAAGAGAGGGGAAAAGGGGGGAAGGAAAGTGGTCAGTTGAGGTTGGTGTGGAAAGCCTCCCTGAAAAGTAATATCTTTACAGTGGTGCCTCGCTTAACAAGCGCCCCGTTTAACAAAGAATCCACATAGCGATTTGTTTTTTGTGATCGCAAAAGCGATCGCATTGCAATATTTTTAATGGCAAAACATTGCACTGCGATGATCGGTAATCTTTTCGCTTACCGATTTTTGCATTGCAATGTTTAAAAAACCGCTGATTGGCGGTTCCAAAATGGCCACCGGAAAAAATGGCTGCCCGCAGCATTTTCACGGCCTGCAAAACATTGCACTGCGATGATCGGTAATCTTTTCGCTTACCGATTTTTGCATTGCAATGTTTAAAAAACAGCTGATTGGCGGTTCCAAAATGGCCACCGGAAAAAATGGCTGCCCGCAGCATTTTCACGGACTTTCCGGGCAGCAAAAATGGCGGCCAGATGGAGGATTTCCGCATAGTGGTGAGTTTTTCCCCATAGGAACACATTAAATGGGGTTTAATGCATTCCTATGGGGTTTTTCGTTCCGTATAGCAACGATTCCGGATAGCGACAATTTTCCTGGAATGGATTATTGTCGCTATGCGGGCCACCACTGTATTTTGGTCCTAAATTTGTGACCAGGCACTTAGTTCTATATTATGACCTATATTTTGAGCCCATTTTACCATGCAATCCCTCACAATTTCATCTTCCATTTTTTGTTCCATTAAAGTATTATATAAACCTTTAATCAATTTTTCAGTAGGCTTTTTCCCCCGGCCGGAACGGATTAATGGAGTTTCAATGAATTCCTATGGGAAATGGTGCTTTGAACTGAATAATTCAAAGGGGGGAAAGAACTGGTCACTAGAAGGTGCCAGAGACCATGCCTTGTAATTAGCAAATATTCACAGCATGGTCTCTCACTCCTTCTAGTAGCCAGTTCTGGTAATGCATGTAAAAATAGTTTTTTTTTGTGGACTTCTTTTTCCTTTTAATACTTTTAGAACTTTCAAACCGTGGATAAGTGAATCACTGGATATAGATCCTATGGATAAGGGGGTCTTACATTACTGTAAAACTCATTGTCTAGAATATATGCACCAACACAGTCCCCAAGACCTTTGCTTACCATTTATTGACTGATTCGATTTATATTTCTAAACCAGTTATGCCAGATTAGCACACAAAGCAGAACAATGCAACTGTCCACAAAACACAGACTAAACTGGAAGCACTTGAAAACTAGACAAGTTTAAACAGAAGTCTAAAAATAAAAATTATCCCAGTTCCAATTTACATTTTCACACCCAAGAATGCAACAGCTGTGTCTTTAATGATGAGTGGTATTTTGTCACCAAGACTTACACAATTGTACTTACACCAGTGTAAATCAGCAGTAAAATTCTGGCCAATCGTGCATATTTATTATCAGATGAAACAATTTTCCATGTGTGCTATCATACTGAATACCCTGCTCTAAATAGCTGCAAATCAGCTCTCGGGAGCATGTGCCACTGTTACAAAGTCCTCCCCAGATGTGTATGTAGGTCCCTTAGGAAAAAGGAAGCTTCTCAGATAAGCAGCTGCCAAGTTGTTTTGTGCTTCCATCTGTTACATTTCAGAGGCCGAAATCTCGTTTGTGCATAACTCCAAATTACACAGCAGTAAAGAAAACTGCACTGAAGCCCACATGATATCCATGGAAGAACTTTGACTGTCATGCAGTACACAATGAATTGCTCAGTCAATCACACAATCAAACTGCCAGATGCGGACAGCTGGGGCATAGTGCATTGCACTGTTCCACAGGCTTAACTTTACATGACACCAGTCTCAACATCATTTCATCCAGAGTGTTTAGCATTAACTGACTAATGTCAACGTAATAAGCTGTTACAATCCTATTTGCATTTATTCAGCAGTTCAATTTGTTTCAACATGTTTTATTACCATATATTTACAACCTAAAACAATCTGTATAACTGAACAACCTCAGAACTCTAACAGCTTGATACATGCTCACAGGTCTTTACAAACTGGAAAATACAACACTCTGGGAACTGTATTAAACTACGACAATTTAATGAAATTACATAGTGCCACAAATTCTCACCTCTTGTAAATATTTTTACTATAAATTCTTCCTCCTAGTTCGTTTTCAACGGCAGTTGTTCCATCTGCTTTTGTAGCATACACACCAATTATTCTACTCTCACAACTTGCACCACAAGTGTTCAGATAATGCAAAACCCAAACTGTAGGCTTTGCGCATATAAAGCCATAGTAGTCACAAAAATCTAGGAGTGTCTGAAAGAGAAATATAGAATAATTTAGCTGTCGACTACATTATATATTTTCCATAATTTGGAGATTCAGAAAGATTACCATATAAAGATGTATACTATAATAGCACATTTAATCACGAGTATATCAGACAAAATCCAAAGAAACAAAATGAAACAAAGAAAAGACAAAACCATGTGGCACCTTAAAGACTATTATAGCTTTTTGCACAGACTAACACAGCTACCTCTTCTAAAACTTTAATCACAAGTGTCTCTGAGATTAATGACACTTTGTCGTTGGCATCTGTCCTCGAATCATCTCCAGCTCGTGGCCACTCTATAAATGATACTTACTCCCAAGGGAATAGACACGGAGTCTCCACAGGCTCTGAAGAACAAAGCATGTCCTGAAACCATCCTGTGATTTTGTTACTTGGGCAGAAGGTAAAAGGCACATCATTAACTTGCTTAAAACTGACAATTAGAGTTCCCACTGGGATTCTCAACCACATATCAAGTCAGGGTGCATGTGCACCCCTGAGAATCACAGTGGGGCTCATTAATTGCCAGCTAGAAGCAAGCGAGCATGACCTCTTTTGCTTTCTGCCTGCATAATAAAGCAACAGGATTCCAACCACTACATTATTTTCACGAGTTTGAAGTCATCTATTGGGTGTAACAAACAAGATTTGTGCATCTTTTTAAGATTATATTATAAATGTACTAGAGAAAAAGAGAGTAAGAGACAAATACCCTTCTGTCTTCTTATACCATTGTTCAATCAACAATGTGATCGTGTCTATGTGGTATTTTAAAATATTTGCAGAAATTATCTTGCACTACTGGACTGAGAACACAGTAATACTATATGGCACTGCTAGATGCAATGAGGTTACAGTGGACCCTTGACTTACAGACGGCTTGACTTACAGACTTTTTAAGTTATAGACTTCTCTGGCTGCAAAATTTAGGTTTGACTTGCAGCCTGAGATTTGACTTACAGACCAGAAAAAAACCAAAATGGAACAAAAACGGCCTGTTACGGGATTAATCGGTTTTCAATGCACTGTAGGTCAATGGAGACTTGACCTACAGACTTTTTGACTTGAGAACCGCCTTCCAATACGGATTAAGCTCTCAAGTCAAGACCCCACTGTACTTTTAACCTTGCAAACAATTATCCACTTACTAGGTGTTCTTCTCATCCTCTCACTGCTATCCTGGACATCGTAGGCTGTGGGGCATGAAACAAGGTCTACAGTTATGGAGGCCTGTGGGGGGAAATACCCTTATTCCCATTCCTCTCATAAACAACCAAGGATACGAAGGTTTTTTTTTCTCTCTCTCCAATTATCCCTTTCTTTCTAAGTCTTCATACAGTTAATAAGGTCTCAACTTCAGTATATGAATGGAGGTGTTAGCCTAGCCAACATGCCAACCAAAGTGGGAGGGAAAGCACTGCCACCTGCTGTGATTACTACTTTGCTTCATCGCCCTCTTCCCTTGATTGCCCTCTGTCTTTCTGCAGACCAAAGCACCAAGAGGCCCTTCCTCAGTCAGACAAGAGTACCCAAGGAGATGCCCACAATGTTTGGGTCTGAGGAAGGACACTTCCTCTGAGCCAGGCACTTGGGGTATTGCCACTTCCAGGGAGGAAGGTTTTTGGAGGCAAGAACCCTCCTGGACAGTGGGGACCCACATAATTCACCGCTTCTGACTTTGTATCACGCAACGCCAGCCTCTCATATTGCCAAATGGATGGGCGTGTCTTGTGCCCCAAACAATAATGCAAAATCATAACAAATACTGTACCTCTTTAAGTTCGAAACGTGATCTTAAACAATACGTCTCCATTTCATTGGCCAAGTGATCGGTAAGAGTGTAAGGATAAGGAATGCCAAAATAATCAGCCTCTTCCTGCAATGCAATTCGAGTTTGCTCATCTTCTGGAACCTGAAGTTCTCCATGAAGATATGCTAAGAGATATTTAAAGAGGCTGCCATCTCGGTCAATAACGCAGGCCCCTGTAAACAAAAACAAAAAATATTTTAAAATTTTACATATATGCCCCCACATTTCTCCAAGAAGTTCAAGGAATTTCTCCAAGGAATCATGCACTAATCTACATGTGCTCTTATCTTCACAACAGTTCTGTGAAGCGGCCTGGGAGAATGACTGACCAAAGACCCTCAGGGCTCAATGGGAATATGAACCCAGTTCTCTGCAATCCAACCCACTATTCTAACCCACTACTCTATAACATTTTTACACTCTTTCATAGAACATTCAGGTCACCTAAATCATATTGTTCTGTGCAATATTTCCATGGGAAATGGAGGCAATGCAAAGAATATTTTAATACCACGTATAGGAGAACTTAGCATTTTGACAAATCCAAATCCGCAATTATTTATTTTCCAGAATAATAATGAACATTTCAATTTACTGCCCCATTTTTTGACGCTGCAGCAGCAGAAACTATAAAAAGTTAAACACTTTGGTTTAGAATGTTTTTTTTCAACATATTTTACCCATTCTGATGAACAGTCTGCATTATGAAGTTTGCATTTAAGTTTTAAGTAATGACATTTTTTTTACCTGAGTCATCCCTTTTTAGAGGAAACCGTCCACTAAACATAGAGGCCAGCATTGATTCCTTAAAGCGGCATAAAGATTCACGCCGAGCTGTGAACATACAGCCTCCAACATTAAGTCGAATAATATCGCCCACCTCTTCGCTCTTGTTGTCATCCATTGTGTTTGAAGTTAAATGTTACCAGCTCAATCGTGTAATTACAAAAGCTGTAAGAGCAATAGGACAGTAAATAAGAAAAGTTATAACCACTTTAGTTTTTGCAACCAGTCAAAAGAAGCAGGTAAATGATCTAGTTGTAACAGCAAAGCACATGAAACACTCTGAGTACTGCTGTACTTGTGTCATTGCCTCTCCCTCCCATGCCTGGGTGAGAAATATCAACAGTTCTGGCAGCAGTGAAGCAAACATATAGCCAAGAAGGAAGGTGATCCTGCAAACCAGGACTTCCTTTCAGCGCTACATACCTTGCAGACAAGCAGAACAAAAGCAGATATCACCACTGGCATCGCTAGGTCTAAAATTTAAAACAACAGTAGCCACCAAAGCAAATACTGTAAACAGAAGTCTCTATAGCATGGAACTAACAATTCTACTACCCATATTATATCAGACCCAACAAATGTCTCAGTTCCTGCCAAGGATTTCAGAGCACCTGCAAGTCAAGACCTCAGCACCACGACACAAAGCAGTGGAATTGGTTTCTGATTCAGCAAACATAACTAGGATGCCTTTTTTGTTATTATTTAGGAGCTAAAGGGGATGTGGCCATGCGTTACAGTAATTCTGACAATAATTCCACATATTTCATATTAACGTTACACTGCTCTTCAAAACCATTTCCTCTTCTACTGGGATTCTGCCAGAGAATGGGGTCTCCCCCATTGTGGTTGTGCCTCTCTTCCTCCTGCCTACCTCAAGCTGGCCCAATACCTAAGGTGTTGGTTGGGACCCCAGTTCTCAACCTGCCTGCCGAGGATAATGTGATCCAGTCCCACACCTTCACTGGGCATCACACTAAGGAAAGCTGCCCTACTCATTTATCATGTTATATTAACTGAATTGGGCTGTCAAACCACTGTATTTTGGGAAGGAGATGTTCCGCTCAGAAGACCTAGCAAAAAGGCATCTATGCTGGACCCAATCATGTTAGTCCTCAGACCTCTTTATTTTCTCCTGCAGCAACTGGTGAAGTAACAACATACACTGTCAATTTGGTAATAATAATCATGGAAACGAGAGCTGACGTGAGCAACCTTGGGTACGAAGATGGTACTACAAATAAAGAAGCACTAATTTCAGGAGTACTGCAATCCCTTTATTAGGACCTTGCAAGTTACACAAAATGAGCACCAGTGTATGGCAGTGGACACAGTGATCTGGGACTCAGGAGACCTTGTGTTTCAAATCCTTGGGTGGTCATGGAAGCTCACCGAGGGGTGGCACCTTGGAAATCCTATGAGGGTCGCTATAAATCAAATGCAACTTCACGGCTTATCAGTTACACAAGCTGCAAGGAACTTTTGGTGGGGAAATGACCATGTTTCTATGCTTCTACATTTTCTAGCAGAACTACCTGTGAATAACAACAACAACAACAACAATAATAGTTTTAATATACAGTTACATTATACATATTTATATATAAGTGTGCATTTTGTACTTTTCATTCGTCCTTCTCCCCCCCTCCCCGCGCCCCAGTTAAACGCCACACCAGCATCCATCCCTGCAACTGCCTTTCCTTCCCTCCTTCTCCCTCCATTTCCACCCGCTTGTGATCGTTACATGAATTCGGGAAAGCCCCCAAGTTACTGTAAAGCAAGGAAAAGGAACGAAGGCCTAAGTTGGCGGCTTCTCTTCGCCTTCCGCCCTGTGGAAGAAGGACCGGGAAGAAGAGAGTGAGGAGAGGGAAACCAAGGGCGACGGGAAGGCATTTCGCTGAGGGGCGGGGGCGAGCGGGGGGAGCGCGCACACACAAGACAACGACACACTCACATTATTCGTTCCTCTTTCCGTTCCAGGCCGGCTCCTCTCAATAATATCGGGGCGATCCAGGGAGCCCCGCCCCTTCAAAGTCCCACCCTCACGCGACTTTTGGGGCCGCCATTTGTAAATCTGGCAGAAAAGGGCGGGCAGCGGCGTCACGGCCTGAGTGGAAATGTTTCGAATGGGCAGAAAGGGCTGCGTCCCTCAGGATGGCGGCGGCGGCTCTCGGTAGCGCTCAGGAGAGAGACAGAGAGAGCCGAGGGGGTGCGAGGGTCGGGCTCCAGAGGTTGGGGGCCGCCCCCGAAAGAAAATGAAAAGAAATAAATAAGGTTCGCGGCGTCCCGAACAGGAATGTAGTAGAAACCCTTGGAGAAGCGAGTCTCGCCAAAGGGGGGCTTAGGCGCCGGAGCCGTCGGGGTAGCCGAGGGGCCCGGCTGCGAAGGCGACCTTGCGAGGCCCCTCATCTTTTCAGTAATAACTCGGAGGCTATTCAGTGACCAGTTGGGCTCCTCATTGGGATAAAAGAAGTCCTACAAAACAGCAGCAAATTAAAAGAAGCTGCTTACAAATAAAGCCGGGAGAAGTTATTTTTATTTATTTATTTATTTATTTGATTTACACCCCGCCCATCTGGTCTATAAGACCACTCTTGTGCTTCTCAGTTCTCTTATGGTTCTCAGTTGATTTACTGTTAACTTTATGCTTCACTTTAATCCTGTTTTAATAGTTGTTTAATAAGCCGCCTAGAGTGGTCGAAATGACTAGATAGGTGGGGTATAAATACAATAAATAAATAAAAATAAATAAAATAAAGATGGGGTTTCAGCAGGTTAAGGTTAGGGCTGCGCAACATCCATTGCAG